AAAAAAAAAAAAAAAAAAAAAAAAATCTTTTAAGCTTTCACTTGGATGTTAAGGCTAAGTTAATTTACATTAGTTCTCAGACGTTTACAGTGCAGAAACTTCAATTTTCAATCATCCTTTGAATCACGCGAGACATTCATAAATGTCTTAGTTGAAGACTCATTCAGTTTAGTCGAATTTTCGTTTGAATTCAATAAACTTGAAATCACTTTATCGGTTTCTTATATCTTTGTTATTTATATCAGAAATTAATAAGATGTCAATATATTGTAATATATAAATAATAATAGTAATTATCATATACATGTGAAATGTCCTAAATAAATAATAAGTAATAACATGTAGAATAATGAACAGTTCCAAGTTTATTTACTTCTTGTTAGTCAATTAGTTAGTCTAGTTAGTCAATTTATTAAATCGAAATTTTATAATTTAAATAGTAAACTAAATAATATTATTATTATTACTAATAACATAATTTTATATACCATTAACGTAATTTTATATAATAATAAATATATATATATATAATGATAAATTTATGTTTGACTTCCAGTTGAGTTCTAATCATTTCATTTGACTTCACTCTCCTAAATCCAAATTTCATCTTCAACTCCATAACATATTAATCGAGCGCTGCCAGACTTTATTAAAGATTAACGTACACGTATATATCGAGAAATTCAGAATTTCATTGCTAATAACAAGTCGATGATAAGAATGAAAACGTGCAACGATAAAGAGCAATGATAATTCACAACTTTTAATTTGTATTTTCTGAATAGCCAGAGGCAGCAGCGGGCCAGCACTGGCTTTAATGAATTCCGAGGATGGAAGGTGGACTGAGATGATTGATTAGCCTAATTTTAAACTAACCTCCTAGAAAAGTAGCGTGGTAGTATGCAGATAGGCGAGATCCCTAGCTCCATGTTAAGTTAAAAAAAAAAAGAAAAAAAAAGAATAAAAAAAAAAAAATGGGGAAAGACCCTGAATTTCCGACAAGTTGGTAATTAGAGTGCACGCTGCTGCATTGTGAAAATTGTGGACGATGCAACCGTGTCTTGATGACAGTTAAATAGAACATTTCCTTTTCCTTTTGCTCATTAACTGAAAATTAAGCGTTTATCGTTCGTATCGTCAACGACTTGATTCGTTTAGAAATTTTTGAAACACGGAGGACTTCAGATGTACGCGAAAATTTTTAATTAAATAGGGAAATGAAACAAAAAGATTCAGGAAGGTAGAACATTTTTAAATAAAGTTCACTCCACAACGTTCCTGAAGAGCGCAGATTTTAGTGATGCTAGGCAGGATTTTTAATGCAAATTATAAACCAGATATACTCTTCAAATATTTTATCCAGATAATTTTATAGATTAGACTCGGAGATTGTATTTAAATAATTTCTCATATTCGGAGAACGAGAGATATAATTGTTCAAACAATAAAAAGTAAATTTCGATTTCCGACTGAGAGCCTGTCGATTGAATTCGATTGCTCGGAAAATATTTTGTTATTTAGTGGAATTTAACCGTGAGGATGCTGGCGCGTGGGAATTAAAGTAAGAACGCTAAAGGTTAATGTATTTTTCGCTTGTTTTCGAAATAAAAGCTCTGCGATTCGATGTTTCTATTTTCGTGGAAAATTGAAAAATTTCTGCGGTAGGTCGTTTCCACGCGAAATGCAAGAAAGGTTTCGATAACGAACCGAATTGAACAACTGAATTTGAACTGTCCGATACACTCGCAGGATCACGTTTTTTTTTTTTTTCACCGGCGATGCTGCATATGACACAATAAAAATTACAATCTTCACTTCGGACTTAAAGCTACGTGCACACGCGACGTACGATAAAACGAAATTTCAAGCCAATTAAAATAAATTGCAAATTAAAGGCAATTACAGAAAAGGTAAGTCGTTTCCGTACCAGTTTACTAATAATTTTTATTACAGTTTGGATCGTGCGTTTCTCCGATTCTTTTTGTAGAAAATTCCAAATATACAATAACATGTGTAAAAACATTTCCCTTGCGTGACAAGAGTAAGAATCTCAGTGACAGAGAACAAATTCCATATTCTCTTTGAAAGACACATATTCCATAATAATTTTCAACCATTGCGAACAACTTCATACGTACGATTACGTCGAAACTTATTGAAAGGAAAGAAAGAAAGAAAGAAAGAAAAAAAATAAACGAACTGCGGATTTTTGTGGGATATTTATATATATCTTTGAGAATATAATCAAGAAACGAGAACTTTGAAAGAGAATGACTTTACATGTCAAACATTACAGGAAACGCTGTAC